TCTAGGTATACGCCTTGGGGAAACCTAGCATAAGGAGATAATATGCAAGGGTTTTCATTACAGTACTATTCATAATAGCAAAAAATTGGAAGTGATATTCTTATTCATAGAAAAAATGATAAATAAATCATGGTATAGCCTTATTTAATTTTCCATAGCAGTCAAAATGAATCACTGCCCAAAATGAATCCGTGCCCAGCCGGATTTTCTTTTTAAAAGAGAGACTTTTACATGGTGGCTCACTGAAATTCAGGTATAAACATAAATGTTGGCCAGGTTCCATGTCTGAGGCCTATAATCCTAGCATTTTGGGAAGATAAGACGGGAGCATCACTTAAGACCAGGAGTTCAAGATTAACCTGAGGAACACAGAAATAACCCATCACTACAACAAATAAAAAAAATTGGCCCGGGGTGGTGATGGATGCCAACAGTCTCCGCTACTCAGGAGGCTAAAGCAGGAGGATCCCTTGAGCCCAGGCGTTCGAGGCTGCAGTGAGACATGATCATGCCACTGTACTCCAGCCTAGGCAACAGAGAGAGACCCTGTATTAAAAACAAAATAAAAAACAAAAACAAAAGTCCATGAACATCTAAAATACTATTTACTGAAAAAATCAATATGCAGAATGATACTTATATAGTGTTCTAGCCTTAATAAAGAACCACACAAAACTGTACCATGTATTTCTGAAATCCAGTATATAGTAAAAGCAGAATATATAAATGCAGATGGAAAGATATATCACACACTTAGGATAGTGGTAGATATTGGTTGCCTTTCAGGAGATGAAGGGACATTATTCACTCTTCTTCATTGTTCACTCTTCATACTTCAGAAAGCAATTTGGGAAAAGAAAAAAGGATTTCAACGACATCTGTAACATTCTACTTCTTAAGACAGTTGAAACAAAGAAGACAAGCTTAAGATGTATTAAATGTGGGTGAAAAGTACTTCAATGTTTGTTATATTATTGTCTGTGATCTTCTGTGTGTTTTGAAGTTTTCATTAAAGCAAAACAAAAAAACGGAGTACTGAATTATACCTAACCAGGTAATAAGCACTTCATAATATGCTTCAGTGTTTGATGCCCAAAGTCTCTATGATACTGGGTAGAAATATTTGGAAGTAAGATCAGTTGTTTGGCATACCGAGGATTTTTTTTTTGAGTTGAAGTCTCTGTCGCCCAGGCTAGAGTACAGTGGCACGCTCACAGCCACCACAGACTTGACCTGCTGGGCTTAGGCAATTCTTCCACCTCAGCCTTCAAGAAGCTGGAACTACAGGCACGCGCTACCACGGCCAGCTTATTTTTTTATTTATTGTAGAGATGGGGGTCTCACCAAGTTCCCCAGGCTAGTCTCGAACCCCAGACTCAGGCAATTCTCTCATCTCGGCCTCCAGAAGTGCTGGGATTACAGGCAGAGCCACCGTGCCCAGCCGGATTTTCTTTTTAAAAGAGAGACTTTTACGTGGTGGCTCACTGAAATTTTATAGATGTAGAAAACATATGTCAACCATGCACATGACATGAAAACTATGAGTATGTAAATAAAAAAACTGAGTAAGCAATTAAGAAAGTATGGTGGTCAGAATCTCAGAAACCACACTTTTCCAGGAAGCAAATTGTAGTTTCCTGGAGAGAGTTACAATATTTGTTTGAAAATAACCAGGCTCTAGAACTTGTATCTAAAATATATTCAAATTTGATTATCATTAATGTGGCATTTTTAAGAGCTCTGTGTATCAATATAATCAGAAGATAAAGGACTGTTTATATATATTTGGAAAATAGTAGTAATAAGTTACAAAAATAACATCAACATTTTAAATTAGAACGAGAAACATATTTCCAGTGATGATACTATGGTTTTCCATCATAAGTCCCACAGAATAATCTGAAAATGAATTTGGAGAATTTATGTCAAACGGAACCCATGTACATCAGGTTTTCTGAGCTAACATGAGAAACCAAATAGCAAACATCTTTCAAAACTACAACAGACTAGTTATCTATAATGCAATCCAAACACAGTAAATATTATTTAATGAAATAAGTCTATTAGGGAGTCCATTCCTAAGTTGATCTGACATACTGGAGGAGTTATTTATTCAACAGAAGCCAAATGAATGGAAAATATTTTTTTCCTATTTGCTAATAAGCCTGAGTGCTAATACCTTGGGAATCCATCCATATGGACATAAAGGTTCCTACAATTGTTTGTGATTTTATCTGGAAAAGCTTTTCTTCTTGTTCTATTTTATTTTGGGTCAGCTCTCAAGGCCTTTCAGATATTAAAGCACAAACTCTAAAGACCTTATCAGAAAAAAATCAGTCACATCAGAAAAAAGTACTCATGAATATTTCCACCAACTCATCAATTTCTGTCATGAGCAAGTTATTTCTTCTAACTTTCAATAAATAATCATGCTGAAAACACATATACTGGCCGGGTTCAGTGGCTCAGCCTGTAATCCCAGCACTTTGGGAGGCCAAGGCGAGAGGATTGCCAGATCCCGCTGGTTCGAGACCCAAGGGGCAACTTGGCGAGACCTCGTTTCTACAATAAATAAAAAATTAGCTGGGCATGATAGCACATGCCTGTAGTTCCAGCTACTTGGAAGGCTGAGGCAGAATGATCACAGGAGCCCAGCAGGTCGAGGCTGCGGTGGCTGTGAGCGTGCCACTGCCCTCCAGCCTGGGTGACATAGTGAGACTTCAACTCAATAAATAAAAAAAAAGAAAATATTGGTATCAGACACATGTATTGATAGATGTTTTGGATAAACATATTTGTAAGCAGACCTTACACCTAAATACAGGTGATCTTTGACTTTTGTTTTTTGAGTTGGAGTCTGTTACCCAGACTGGAGTGCAGTGGCCGCTCCCAGCCACTGCAGCCTCGACCTGCTGGGCTCCGGTGATCCTTCCGCCTCAGTCTTCCAAGTAGCTGGAATTACAGGCGCATGCTACCACGCCCGGCTAATTTTTTATTTGTTGTAGAGATGAGGTCTCGCCAAGTTGCCCAGGCAGGTCTCGAACCCACGGGCTCAAGCAATCCACTCACCTCAGCCTCCCAATGCGCGGGATTACAGGCTGAGCCACCGAGCCCGGCTGATCTTTGATTTATGATGAAGTTATGTTCTGGTAAACCCATCCTAAGTTTAAAATATCTAAGTGAAAAATGCAACTAATACCCTGATAAACCCATTTTAAAGTAAAAACAAAACATTTTGTGGGCAACCCCACAAAAGCTCTGGGAGCTTTTCTGTCCTCTCAATAAATCCTACTTTCAAAAAATAAAAATAAAATAAAATAAATAAGTAAAAAATTTTTGTAAATCTAATCATCCTAAATCGGGACCATCTGTATAGTCTTTATCACATGAGATTTTCCATTGATTCCCTTTTTTCTTTTTTTTTTTTTGTCTTTGGATTTGATTACATTTAACTATTCATGATTGACTCCCTTTTTACTAACTTTCTTCCCAACCCTCCACCATCACAAAAAAATAGAGCGAAATCCAGTGGCAGAGTAAAATGATAGAGTAACTATTCTGTCACTCATATCATGAAAGGTTGACATAAGAAAATAATTCCTAAAGCCAACAAAAACAAATGACATCATAAGTACTTCTGGGAAGTAATTAAGGTAAGAAATTATACATACATAACAATGAATGAAAATTAATCATGAAGCACAGTCCTGCAGATAATACCACAGATTCAACCTAGAATTTGGTTGGTTTTTAGTCGTAGTCTCACTGTCACCCAGGCTGGAGTGCAGTGGCATGCTCACAGCCACCGCAGCCTCTACCTGCCGGGCTCAGGCGAGCCTTCCGCCTCAGCCTTCCAACTAGCTGGAACCACAGGCGTGCACCACCATGCCCAGCTAAGACTTACTCCTTTTAAGTACCAATCATTTTCTCCCATCTATGCCAGCTGTTGTTATTAGACATCAAAACTCTTTCTGGCACCAGGTAAAGCCTATAGCAGAATAGGGGACTGGAAGTCAAATAAGACATTAGATTTGCTTTCAGGAATTTGTTACCAACACCATCTTGAGGTTTTCCAGGGAAGCAAACCTCAACTCCAGGGTGAACACACGGGCCCTTCTCCGCTCCAACACTGCATGTCAGGGAGACTCATTGCTATACCAGCAACCTGCCTAACATAAATTAATGTGCTTAAGTAATCAAAACCAGAAATTTTCTACTGAATTTTCAGGACAGCATAAAAAGTAGCTTCATGCCACTGAAAATATGGCCTGGCACTTTTATTTTTATTTTTTTGAGTCGAGTTCACACTCTGTCGCCCAGGCTAGAGAGCAGTAGGCACAATCATGACTTACTTCAGCTTCAACTTCTTAGGCTCAGGTAATCCTTTCACTTCGGCCTCTCCAGTGGCTAGGACTACAGGAATGCACTGCCATGTTCAGCTACTTTTTAACTTTTTTTTGTAGAGATGAGGTCTATGTTGCCCAGACTGGTCTCCTGGGTTCATGCAATCCTCCCACCTCGACCTCCCAAAGTGTTGAGATTACAGGTGTGAGTTAATGTGTCCAGCCCTCTGGTCTGGCATTTTAAAAACCTAGTTTCAGATAATTAAAAATATATATCACATTTAGTGGAAAATTGATAAATATTTTTTCCTCTTCTTTAGAGAGTTCTTAAATGTGTCCTAAAAAAACATTAATTTAGACTTAAAAATGTACTTTATTTTTAATATAAATTTGAGAGAGAAGGAGGGAGAGAGGGAGAGAGAGAGGGAGAGGAGATTCACCTCCCCTAGGTAGGGAAGGGGGCCAAAAGCTGGGAAACATGGTCAGACCATAGCAAGGCAATGGCCAAAAACTTTTTAAGAGCTTCCACATAGCAAATATTAGGCTGACAGTCTATAGATCCCCTTATTACATTAACAACTACAACAGCAATTTGAATGAGAATTTGAGTCGCAGTGTGAAGAGTATAAAATATTTTCATATGGTGGCTCAAATACACAATAGAATAAAATTTTAAGGTGTGAATAAAATGCAGTCACTGAACATATGTGGAAAAGATATTTAATTGTAAAATAGAAAAGTAGGCCAGAGTACAGTTTTAAGGGTAATTGCTTTTTTATACAGTATAGATAATCTAGAGAGGTTTTAGGGTTAAACATTTTCATAAAGCAATAAAACACTGAAAAATAAAGCAAGAAAAGGGGCTAAAAGGTGTTTTACCAAAAAAAAAAAAAAAAAAACAGTCTGTCAGTGTTTAATGTCCATACATTGTGGAATTCAACAATACTGTGGTGAGAGGAAGTCACAGTACAGACATTGAACTTTCACAGGGAAAAGTAAAATTACATTAGACATATCTATAGCATCACTGTAGTACAAAAGGTTCATGTTCTACATACAAAAGCAACTTTTTTCCATAAGAATAATTTCCTTGGGGGAAATAAGTCCATGAAATATTTCAGAAACCCATATGAACTGAGTTTTCCAAAAACATTATCTTAAAATCCAGTGCCTTAAAGTGCTTTCATGTGGAAATCATGATGGAAGGCACAGAATACAGTTTCACGTCCCCACTATGAAATTTTCAAAAAAGCATAGATTTTGCAGTTTACAAATTCAAATTATCTTGTAAGCCGCTCCTTCCAAGAACATTGTCATTCCAATAAAACCAGCTGCTAGCTCACTTAGTTTCAATGACCTATAGAGTGAAAGGGCTTTTTTCTTCTGCTAACTTTCATCATTTTTGTGGGAAAAATACCTATGCAAGTGATGCATTCTGAAATTATAAAACATGCTGAATATGTACAAACAGAAAGTTTAAAAAATATTTGCCTCATATACATGTAAATCTACTTGGGTATAGCTGAAATTGAACAAATATAAAAGTTTTGCTTTCTAAAAAATGTTTTCAGAGAATCTGAGACAACTTAAAGCTGTACAAAGATTTCCTGGGAGAAATCTTCTCTTCATATAGAAGTTTATACCTACAGGAGTAATTCCAGCATTAGTCTACCATAATTATTAAACAACATTTGGTCTAATCAACAACGATCACCCTTAAAACTGTTCTGTTTCTGAGAAATTATGGTTCATACTAAAATCAAAAAGAATTCACAAAAACAGTGGCTTATTGTGTTTGTGGATCTCTTCAACAATCTTTATCAACTCATTTGGAACTGTAAAAAAAAAACAAAAACTATTTACAGAATTCAGTTTTAAATACATTTCACAACTTCTAAAGTTTTATGTTACAAGAAGTCAGAGCTCATGGCTTAAGTCCAATTAGCAATCTGTAGTCTCTTTTATTATCCTGTATTCCCATGACTGTACCTTTATTGCGTACAGTTCAAGATTGTATTCTTTCTTGACCAAAAGTTAAATCAAACTACATGTTCATTCCAATTAAACAGCTTCTTTACTAGTCTGAAGACGAGTCATAGCTTCTAATTTCTGTCTGTAGGCCTCTGCTTCCTGTTCTTTCTTTAAAAGCTGTTGTCGATATTTTTGTGCTTCTCGATTTGCTTCATCCAGCTGTTTCTGAAGAGCTTCTCTCTCCTAATTTAACAAAAAAAGGGTTCTTTTCAATTTTTGCAAAAATACATTTTTGATACATATAAGCATGCATCCTGCAAATTAAAAAATTAAGTAGTTACAAGTAGCCACCTATTGAAATTTCCCAGACACCTTGCCTTTTCAACCAATTCACTAACAATTAAATCCTTAATTTTGTACTCCACACTGTGAGATACAGGTTAGTTTCTGATCTGTAATTTTCTCAAGGAAATTATTTTATTAGAAATAAGACTAACACATAACTCAAATTGGGTACCTGTACTTTTATATGTACTACAACAAACTTGGAAAAACATTTAAGAAGGAAATATACAACCATATCTCTTCATCCCTATCTGTGATACTTTTATCTAAAGTCAGTCACTATAAAACAGTATTTACTGAGCAATCACTATATGACTAAAAAAATGACTTCCAACAACAAACTTCTTAGATAGATATGAAGCCCATGTTACAGATAAGAAAATGATGCTCAGAGATGATGTAGCATTCCCAAGGTCACACAGTAAGGAGTCAGGTTTATAGGATTCTAATATTACTGTTTTTAAAACTATCTTCCTCTACAATGGCAAGCAAGATACCTCAACTTTAAAATGAAGAGTGCTGGCCATTGCCAGACCACTGCCACCATTGCCTTACTAGACTCTGGTGTGACCATTTGCTTTTTGAGCTATGGCTGTCGCCATGTTTCCTGGTTTTTGTCGCTTTTTCTACCTTGAGGAGGTGAATCTCCTCTTTCTCTCTCTCTCTAATTTACTTTCTAAATTATCTATATTTGGAATGAAGAGTGCTGATTAAATTTAGTATTTCCTAACTTATACTATTTACAAACCAAAGTATATTCTCTACTGTGCTCCACTGAACTACGCAGGAATAAAATACATGAATTAAACCCAATACAAGGAGAGCTGAAACACAAATCCATTCCAATAAAAAAAGGTATTCTTTCTCCTCCTCTTCACTCTTCCCTATTCTGTTAAGTCAGGAAGAACATTTCAAAGAACCCTTCCCACACCTCTTGAGCAAGCACATGGACAAAAGCTCAACCTGCACAGGTTCCAGATCAAGGATGGTTTCCATTGTCTTAGGCACAATGCAGCCTCATCATGGACACCCAGGATGTCTTAGCGGGGCAGGAGCCAGGGTAGAACTACCACAAGAAAGGCCAGGTTCACAACAGACAAGACACTCGGCCAGAGGAAACTGAAGTTACGGGGTTGGCAGCCTGCAGGGGAAGGACACTCTGAGTCTCTTCCTGTATGTCCACTGACTCCTTGACTCCTGCGCTTGTGAACACCAGAGGACTGCCTCCCCTTCACTATTTGCAGCGTCTACAAGGAGGAGCATATCCCCCCTGCCTTCCTGCGATCCCGCTTCCCTTCCCCACACCGGGAGTGAAGACAGATTCAACATTTATTTTTCTCACAGATCTACTAGATGTGAGAGTGATTGATTATGCAAGCGGTCTCCAAATCTTCCAATTATAAAAAACGTTCAAGTTGAATAAAGGAATGCCCCTTACTGCCAACTTAAGCGATGCCCAAGCCCTACCCTCTGCCTCCCTAACACCCCAGCCACTCTCTTACCCTAACTCTGGGCAAGATGAAAACATAGCACCAAGTTGGAAAGGTAAGTAATCAATGCCAGTACCCTGGCCAAGAATTATGCAGGCCTTTGAGGACATCAATAGACAAGGCGGGCGTGCGGGGTAGGGAGTGCTGGGCAGACTAGATGCTGCTTCCTCAAGAGCTAGACCCCAACTCCGGCAGGAGCACTCACAGCCTGCCTATGTGTTTTAAAATGTTACACGTGCGTGAGAAATAGAATCCTTTAGAAGTCAAAGTTTGGAATATGGGTAAAAAGTTGCCTTGATTTAGTAGGAAATATTGGAGATTAACCCCAAGGTATCTTCTAGTATTCGTTATTTATTAAGATTTAGCATCAGAAAAGATTCACAATTATTGCAGAAGATGAAAGCAAACTGAGTGAGGTAGACTAACAGTGAAATCCTATTTTTCTTACTGCATATTTTAGTTTCAAGAAGTGGAATATATCTGAATAGAAATGATAGCTTCCTTCTGCCTATTGGGCCAAATAAAATACTCATTTTCACTGCATTTTCTGATTAATTCTGTAATATCTGAAAAACCAAGATTATTAGCACTGCATTCTGAATACATTTAATCATCAAGACGAAAGCATGATAAGCGTTATAAATTTGTAAGAGTATTACTGTATTTTTGCCATTTCATTTTTTTATTTTTTAAGAAATGGTCTTGCTCGGTCTCCCATGCTGGAGCACAGTGGCTTGATCATAGCTCACTGTAACCTCAAACTCCCAGGCTCAAGTGATCCTCTCCCCTCAACGTACTGAGTAGCTAGGACTACAGGCACACAACACCATGTCCAGCTAATTTTTTTATTTTATGTAGAGACAGGATCTCATTATGTTGCCCAGGCTGGTCTCGAACTTCTGGCGTCAAGTGATCCTCCCACCTCAGCCTCCCGAAGTGCTTGAATTACAGGTGTGAGTCACTGCACCTGGCCCTCATTCTTCTAAGCAACAAAATTCTCTGAAAAGTGGAAAATATAACTTCTTATTTTATTCAGAGATTGTTTCCAAATGTATATTTCAAGTGTTTACTGAACATAAAGTACATGGAAGATACATCCTTAATGCAAACAGTAATTTGGTTGTTTCACACATGAATAGTGCAACAGACTGACATTTGGAATTTAAATTTAAATGGAAATGATAATCAATGGCAAAGTAAAGGTACTCCCTGAATTCACATAACTAAGTAATAGAAAAAATCAGTTACTCCTAATGCCACTCATTGTATTTCTTCTCTCCCACATGTACAAATATTAATTTCAATTCAGAATAGTCTAATGTTATTTATGGAAGAAATCTGTAAATAACATACTTCCTCTAAAAATATTTTTAATGCAGTAATATTGAGATGATAAAATTATATACATTGTTGCAATTCTATGTTAGTCATATCTTTCCCTCCAAAAACCTATTTTTAATATTGCATTAATGCAGATGTAAAAGTCACAGCATTTACAATATATTTTCTATAATTTAAGCTAATTGTTCCAGAGATTATTGCTCATTGGAAAACTCTGTAAACATAAATTCTTAGCACCTTCTTTACAGATAGTCACTCTGGTATTTGGAGAGACACAGAGAAAACCCAAACATATTAGATTTTGTATAATGAATTAATTTTTAAATTTCTTTAGAGCAGAGTTCTCAGCCTCAGCATTATTGATACTTTGAACTACATAATTCTTTTTTTGTTTTTTTAGTGAGAAATCAAGATTTATTGAGAGGGCCGAGAAGTTCCCACAGCTGGAAGGGACCCGAAGGGGTTGCCCCCATAATTCATTTTTGTGGATGGCTGTCCTGCACATTGTAGGATGTCTACTTGGCCTTTATTCATTAAATGCCCGTGTAATGCCACTAGTCATGACAACTAAAAATATCTCCAGACATTGCCAGATGTTCACTGGAGTCAAAATCACCCCAGCTGAGAGCCACTGCTTTAGAGAAACCTTTCAAAATAATGGCCAACCTGTCACTTAAGAGTATAAAAGTCTCTTCACAAGATAATTCCACTGGTTATCTAAGAAAATAAATTCAAAAGAATAACTTTGTGTAGTACAATGACTACCTGGTTTGATGAAAACATTGTTGATCATCTCTTCATTCTATATCTCCAGCCTACCTCTACCTTCTATACTCAATTGTATGCTTCAAAGTTTCTTTGTAATAGCCATGAGAGGTCATGAAACCTTGGCTTGAACATTTCCAGTGATGGAGAATAAAATCTCTGTTAACAAAAAGCTCTAATTACTACAAACAAAATAAAACAAACAGACAAAAAACACTATGCTTTTACTGAACTAAAACTCAGTCTCCTTAAAGTTTCATCTCGTTGGTCCTAATTAATTATATACCTCAACTCATATTTTTCTGTTATTTGCAATTCTCTCTGGTCTCTCAAAGACTGTGAGAGAGGAATCAGGTTGAACTTTGAGAGAAACAGCAATGCTCACTGGACGTAAATAAAGTTATAGGCTGCACATTTGTTGTTTAAAAATGTAATTTGTTGAGTTGAATAAGCTTATGTTTAATAAAAATTCAAGCAATTTAAAAATGTTTTATTAGTTAAAGCAAAGTATATGACAAAATTGTTTTCAACTTATAAGTCTAAAAAAGATCATCCGAACATATCAGAAAAAGACAGTAGATAGTAGTAAATAATAAGTATGATTTACACTGTTCAATAGAATAAATCACTAGTTTCTGAGTAAGAACTTTAGCATCCTGCATATCATTTAAGTTCTAGAGAAATAAAGAACCATCAATAATGAAAGTCATAATTTTACCAAATATTCTGGCGAAACCATAAATTGATTCTTTTAAACTCAATAATATATTATTAGTGATTGTGATCAAAGATGTACCAGTCCTGTATTTAAATGAGTTTGGAGAGGGTATTTTCTAATTGTCTTTAGTAGTTAGAAGTATGTTGCCTTTTAGTAATTTCTTTTTTCCTTTTACTCCTGACAAGCTGTGACTTGGTGACTCTTTTTTTTTTTTGAGTCCGGAGTCTCACTCTTTTGCCCAAGCTGGAGTGCAGTGGCACACTCTCAGCCACTGCAGCTTTGACCCGTTGGGCTCAGGTGATCCTTCCACTTCAGCCTTCTAAGTAGCTGGAACTACAGGCGCACACCACCATGCCCAGCTAATTTTTTTTTTTAATTTATTGTAGAGATGAGGTTTCACCAAGTTGCCCAGGCTGGTCTGGAGTCTGTGGGCTCAGGTAATCCTCTCACCTTGGCTTCTCAAAGTGCTGGGATTATAGATAGGCGTGAGCCACCGCACCAGGCTGACTTAGTGACTTTTTAAAAAATCTCAGATGGACATGGTGGCTCATACCTGCAATCCTAACACTTTGAGAGGCTGAAGCAGGAGAATTGCTTGAGCCTAGGAGTTTGTGACCAGCCTAAACAACATAACAAGACCTCATCTCTACCAAAAAAAAAAAAAAAAATAGCTGGTGGCATATGCCTGTAGTCCCAGCTACTCAGGATGTTCACTTGAACCTTGAGTCCAGGAGTTTGAGACTGCAGTGAGCTGTGATCACATTACCGTACTGTACTCAAGGCTGGATGACAAAGCAAGATCTTGTCTCAAATAACAAACAAAAACTTCTCTTTTTGTTTAATAATGAGAGAGGGTCTCACTATGTTGTGCAGGCTGGTCTTGAACTCTTGGCTTCAAGCAATGTTTCTGCCTTGGCATCCCAGAATGCTGGGATTACAGTGGTGAGCCATTGCACTTGGTAAAAAAATCTTCTCTTTTCTATAGTAACAAGAACTTTGACCAAAAAAAATTTGCAAATAGTCACCACATTTACTATATACCTACATCAGAAATTATAAATAACACATAATGAGTATGATGACTTATTACATTCTCATAAAACCCTAATATAGCAATATTATTCTAAATTTTAATTTGGAATACAATAAATCTGAAACTCAGAGAAAAAGATACTTTGCCTCAAAGCTAATGGGGCAAGAGGCGGGATCCAAATGCAACTCATACAATTCCAAGTTAAATGCTCTTTAAACTGCAGGTATTCTTTCAAGGCTATTCACGAATAACACTGTTTTCATTTGATATAAGTTACTATCAAATTTGGGGAACACAATTTTATTTACAGTCAGGTAAGAAAAAATCCTGTGTGGCAACAATGGTTTGGTTACACCTACAAACTAGTTTATACTTACTGGTTTTCCTTGGGAGAAGGGAAAAAAGCTTAATCCTATCCATAGCTATGTCTAAATTCATTTACGTTCCTTAAAATACTTAAATGTAAAATAAGCAGTTATGTACCGCTTTTTAAAAAATAACCCATTTGACAAACGTCAAGTTTCTTTAAGAGGATCCTCTAGCCCAATTAGGCACATGCATTTCATTTTTAAAACAAAAAAATGTTTATTGAGTATATAGTGGTATTTCCTGTAGTGACTTGTGAGACTGGTGTGCATAAGTTTAATAGAAAATAAAGGATGGAGTGCAAGAACCAAAGACATTACAATGTTATTGGTTGACAGACTTTGGTACAAACAAATTCTTCACTCACTCATTCATTCATTCAATATTTATTTATTGAGGGCTTGCTATATGAATAAGGCAAAAAAAAATTAAACAAAATGAAAACACTATGCACTTTCATTCTGAATCAAAACAATAATGTCAATAATAAATATAAAAGACCAAAAAAAAAAAAAAAGAAAAACCAATTGAATTTATTTTGGATGACTGGAGCAAAACACACCGGGTAAAAGACTCCTTACTTCTATTTCTGCAGATTCCACCCGGTTTTCAATTATTTCGATACATTGTCTCTTAGCTGGAGGTTCTTCACTTATAACAGTTTCTTCAGCGATGTCCGTTGCTGGTACTGTCAATACTAACATGAAAAAATGTATGCATTACTTCATTTTCGGAGGATTTTAGTAGATATAAAACTAGTCTTGACAATGTTGATGCCACTCATCTAAAATAAATGTATTCTAAAACAGTAATTCCCAAATATTGAATTGCTTTTTATAAGGATATCCATATGTCTTTTTCTCCTTCTTGCTTCTAAGTTTTACTTGAAGTATTTATTTATTTTTTTAAAAACTGTATAGATAACATATTCATTCTGTCACTAAAAACATCAAAATATTTAACAAGCATATTTTGAGAGGTCCTGTCCACTCTTCTTACACAAATAATCATTTTATTAAGTTCTTATGCAATGTTCTTACATTAATTTCTATAAAAACAAAGGTAGTGTGCACCTATTACATACATCAAGCATACATACCATATATAATACATATATTGTTCTGAGCTGGGCTCGGTGGCTCAGCCTGTAATCCCGCGCCTTTGGGAGGCTGAGGTGAGTGCATTGCCTGAGCCCGCGGGTTCGAGACGCGCCTGGGCAACTTGGCGAGACCTCATCTCTTCAATAAATCAAACACTAGCTGGGTGTGGTAGCGCGCGCCTGTAGTTCCAGCTACTTGGAAGGCTGAGGCAGAAGGATCGCCGGAGCCCAGCAGGTCGAGGCTGCGGTGGCTGGGAGTGGCCACTGCACTCCAGTCTGGGCGACAGAGTGAGACTCCAACTCAAAAAAAAAAGAAATATTGTTCTGCATCTGCTTTTTCATTCCAAATATTCAGAGTATTTTACATCAGTACGTAGAGCACTTCCTTTCATTTAGCTGTAAGATATTCCACTACGTGGCTATACAATTATGAACACTGCCTGTGCATGAACTTTGCTAGTTTTTCCTATTTGGTCATTAGACTATGTCTCAATTTTTAGTAGTTCTTTATATAAAGATAGCTTTGCACAACTGTATAAGACCACAAAAATGACGGTACAAGTTGAAATCATGCAAAGCAATCTTAATAATCAACAGGAAAAATCATAATAGTTCCATGGTCTTTAAAATTTTTTGTGACAACATGAAAACTCACTTACTGTCAGTTACAAATGTAAATAAAAGTTTAAAAATAGAAAAATTAATATTATTCAGTACAATGTAAGTTAAAACATTAGAAACACTGAGAATTAAAACTGTATTTCTTTTTATTCATATCACTAGTATTTCTAAATTAACTCATGAGAATTGAGAGTTTGATCTGTTTCATTAGACTGTATGGTCTCTATATTCGTATGTTAACTAAACATTTTTAAATTAGGGAAGCTTTAAAAATTAGGGCTCTCTCATTGCTCTTCTTTTCCAGAGTTTTCCTTATTTGTCATCTTCTCTCTCCCCATATCATCATAACCTTTAAAATCCATTTGGGTAGTTACAGAAAAAAGTATTCATCTTTTTTTAGGAGCTGAATGGTGCCCTCATTTCCCAAATTCATATATTGAAGTCCAACCCTCAGTACTTCAAAATATGACTCTCCTAGGAAGTGGGGCCCTTAAAGATGTAATTAAGGTCAAATGAGATGGGTCCGAATCCAATATGACTGGTGTCCTCATAAGAGAGATTAGGACACAAGCACACACAAACTGAGGTCAATATGTGAGAACACAGTCAGAAAGTGGCCATTTGCGAGCAGTCTCAGAAGAAACTAAATCTGCCAACACCTCGATCTTGGACTTCTAGCCTTAAGAGCTATAATAAAATATATTTTTGTATTTTTTATTTTTTGAGTTGGAGTCTCACGCTATCGCCCAGGCTGCAGTAAGATAGCACGCTCATGGCCACCCCAGCGTGGACC